CTAGTACTTCAGCGATACACATTTTTTCGTGAAAGTTTTCGTTCCTAACAATAACTGGCCAGTTAAAGTGCATACATGTCCAATGGTGGCACTGCTTATTTATTCATGTATTTATTGTTTATTGCCACAGACAAAAAGTAACAGTTATGTCAACAATTTTGTTGAAAAGAAAGAGAAATGATCCGTAGAAAATTGATTCTTATACATGTGAAGGGTAGTCGTCGTTAAATTTTAGAGGAAATTTTAAAAAATGCAATGATTAGAAGCAAAAAACTTTTACGTGTTGTGATTACTAAATAATGGTTATAAATAACCAGAATTTTTTTGGTCACCAATAACGATCATAACTGTCATTTCTCCGGCAGGTAAAAACACCTGTTATGTATGTAGATACGGTGTGGCCCACAAAAGTGTGCGTACACCTTTTAAAACGCAACAGCTTTTTTCAAACTGAACTGAATGACTTGATTTTTTTTTTTAGATGATAGAAGAACTAGTCTACTAGACGATGACTAAAATACTTCTTTTTCAATTTTGCTATTACTTGGAATAAGAAAATGTAAAAAAGCTCTCGTTCTTTAGCAGGATGTATGCATGTACACAGCAAATAAAATATGCAATATATTATTATATCATATATAATATTATACACAATATAAAATATAATATCAACTATATTTTTAATATAATTAAATAAATTAATACAACAAAATTAATATAATCGGAATTATTTATATAATAAATATTGTATTAATAATCATACATAATATAGTAATATATTGTATATATTTTTAAATTATAAACTGTTTTTAAGCAATAAATATCAAAAACATATGCAACATGCAAAGTATACAAAATAAAAAATATATTTTTGGAATCATCTGATCGTGGCATAAATTTTTGTCCAGATCCCGCGATCTACTGATAACTGATTTTCATCAAAAATGTAACATAGACCCTCATTCGAGATTCCCATTCAATTATAGCCTTCGGTATATCGCAGAATTGTCGACTACTCTTCTGCGCAAAGCGAAGAAAAATATTACGATCGAAGGAAGACGAAACTGAAACCCAACACAAAGTTCTCCCCGATTTTCGTACATGTCTCGTAGTTTTGTCGCGGAGTGTACGTGGGACAGAGAACAAGGAGGAACAAAGGACAGTCCTGGAAGAACCGTGTAAGATGAAACTGAAAGAACGGAGTGAAAAAGAAGAGAGGCGGCGACAGGAACGAGGAAAAAATGAAAGAGACGGAGGAGAGAACGTGGAGGAGACGAACCGTTGCGTTGGTCGGAAGCGAGAAGGGAGATACGGAAATGTACTTTCGCCTGGACTTGTCCGTGTTGGGGTTGAAAGTAACCCTGTGGGCAGCCAATCAAATAAAGTAGTCTGAGGTTGCTTTGCCGGATGCAAATTCGGCTCCCGTGGGCTTTCTGTTTCCCCCCCTCTATCACCCCGTTCATGGCTTTTCTCTTACTGCGGCCCCTGGACCGGTCGAATCTGTGCACGAGCTTCCGGGACACACACGAAAATCCTCTAGCTGCCCACTGGTAATGTATATTCCCCCTCCCTCCCATTGTCCGATGCAACCCCTACCAATTTCGATCTATGAAAAAGTGTACCGTTCGCTTCTTGGTCGAGATCGATGTTCCGGACTTCGGAGGAACCGCGAAAAAGGGATTAATCTTTTGGGAAAATCTGGGACTGAATTTCCTTTCCTGCTTGAATCGATAATCGTCGGAACGATACAGTATACAGTTAATGAAACGTTTATTTTGATTACCGTTCGATTTTCTGATTTATTTGAACATTTGGAACCTTGTGGAGTACTGTGTTACTCTGAGGTGACCAATTACTGTGGCTTTGGTTTGTTTCCTAATTAACTTTCATTGACATTCAATTTTTGTATTGTTTTATTTTGTTCAGTTTTGAATAAGACATTAAATTTCTCCATTCTTTTATTCTGTTTTTCTTTTTTAATAAAAATTGAATGTCTTATTCGATAAATATAAAGCTAATTCTTTGTTCTTTTTGATTATACGTTATGTATTACAATATTATTGGTATCGTTAATTTTACTTTATATCATTTATATTCTTTATATCAGAATATTCGTTTATTTTGTTTATTTACAGTCGCTTACGTTTGAAAACTTACATTTGACGTAAAAGAATGAAATGAAATCAACGATGTGATACGTTTTTGTTGGAAACTGTTTTAGAAACTGTATCAATTCGAAGTGTGGAACGTCTAAGAATTGACAACACTTGTCGCTAATGAGGACATTGCGATCTTTATAAATAAGCAGTACAAAAAGAAAGTTAAATATACAGTGGTCCACAAAAGTGTTAGTACACCTTTTAAAACGCAATAACTATTTTAAAGCTGAACTAAATAACTTGAATAGATAGAGAGACTAGTCCACTAAGCCTTTTTTATATTTTGCTATTTTTTAAATTTTCGTTACAGACGAAAAAGTTAAATATCGAGGTTTTTTAATTTTTTCTTTTTACTCCAAGTAATAGCAAAATTTAAAAAAGAATCCTTTTATCCATCGCCCCTCTACCATTTAAAACAAATTCCATTTATTTAGTTCAGTTTTGGAAAAGTTATTGCGTTCCAAAATGTCTACCAACACTTTTGTGAAACACTGTACTATATATATCTTTATTGTTCAATGAAATTGTCGTCGATGCCATGAGCTATCCTTTCATCTGTATCTACCAGCGAAATCTCCGGCACACACTTGACCAAAGCTCGTATCCGTGCTAGGGTGTCGGTGAGCGTTCGAGAAGACGGGAACACGGCGGGGACGACATCGAACCTCGGCTCCCGTTCCTAATTATGTCGTAATGAAAATAAATCGTTGCATTTGTACGGGCGGCGGCGCGTCTCTTTGGACATTTTCGCAAATCGTTTCCCTCTTTCGTTTCGCCGTTGCCCTCCACCGCCATCGAGGGCCGCTCGTTTTCTTCCAGCTACACGCGCCACCTGTTTGATTCTCTCCAAGGTACACCGGTATCTATTTGTCTATTTCGGCGTTTTCTACGCCACCCGTCCCGATCCCCGTCTTCGACAGGATTCAACCCCCGTCTTGTACCCCCGAGCTCAGCCCGGCGGTCCCGCTTGAACAATCAATTCCAATTTCACGGGAATCTCTTTTAAATCTTGCATTTTCCGTGTTTCACCCCGAGACCGTGTCCGTCGGGGACTTCCGTTGACGGACGCGTTCCCGTTACTCGAACAACCTAGAATGCCCGCAGCGATAATCTTTACCGTGATAGTTTCTGTTGTAGAGTTGTCGTGCGATTGACTGGCTCGCTGAATGAATTTTAGCTTCGACGCGCACGCCGATCATATCGACAGCGTCTATTCGTACGATGCTATTTCGGAAGGGGTGCGGTGAATTCTCTCGAATTGGCTCTCGGTTTGTACATAAAAGCGGACAATTTGGGAACAGGAGGTATGATTATTCGAGCCCACGTCCCATTCATAAACTTGCTAACAAAATAAAGGATTTAACTTATTTAATTACAATTAATTACAAAGATTATCCGATGCTATATGTCAACATTCTTGAAGAAATAGCCGATCGAGTGCAATGAATAAAAACTGAATCAAACGTAACAGTACTTTATGGAACGTAGAACATTACCAGAACAAGAAGGAAAACTATTACTTTCGAGTATAAGAGAAATTAATTGTTTCAAAAGTAGTTACGTATTAACTGGTAGCGACTTCAAATTATTTTGATTAGGTATGCATAATATAATTATGAAACAAAGATCATTTTATTATAGAATGATTCACAATTTTTGAAATACTAATTACAATTAATTACAAAGATTATCCGATGCTATATGTCAATATTCTTGAAGAAATAGCCGATCGAGTGCAATAAATAAAAACTGAATCAAACGTAACAATACTTTATGGAACGTAGAACATTACCAGAACAAGAAGGAAAACTATTACTTTCGAGTATAAGAGAAATTAATTGTTTCAAAAGTAGTTACGTATTAACTGGTAGCGACTTCAAATTATTTTGATTAGGTATGCATAATATAATTATGAAACAAAGATCATTTTATTATAGAATGATTCACAATTTTTGAAATACTGTAGAGACTCTCTTATCCGAAGGTTTGTTTTTGTAATATCTTGATAGCAAAACATTTTATCATCTAAAAATTTCATTCAAGTTTTCTAGTAGATGATAACGTATCAAAATAATACAATGATTAGATAATACAGTGAATTATCTCCAATTGTCGCGCAACTTGTAAACAAACGTGGCTCCTTCAACATTTTCATCCGTGCTGCGTGCACATTCTAGCGTGTAAAAATGAATGACATATATCTAATTGATTTTACATCGTGCAAGGAACGTAAATAATAACCACTGCTAACGAGTCTTCGTAAGTAACTTTTTAATTGGGGACTAATGGGAACTATTTTAATGGCGATTTAATTGCACGATCCCCTTGGTACAATATGTGAATAAAGTAATTATGTTGACCCACACTGCCTTCGCTCAACTTTATTAATAACACCACACAAACAAAATTGAAGAATAGTTTTGCAGAATTACGTTGAAACATTAACTCTTTGCAGTACCTTTTTTTTATATAGTTACAATGATTAGAACTTTTTCGATCGCAATAATTCCTTCGGAGAACAAGAAACTTTATATTTGTTGTGTGTTTACATCCACTCGAATGTGGTGATAAGGGAATAGAATTTGATTCCGACTTAAAGGGACGGATCAACATTCACACCGAACAGTTTATTATTAGAAATCTTCATCGCGAGTCCTGCTCGTTAAAACACGAATAAGCAGTTAAAGAAATCGATACAGTAAATTCTCCTTAATTTTCCTTCAGCCTGTAAACAAAAATGGCCAATTTGGGAAGAGGAAATACGATTATTCGAGCTTTGCACCTTGTTTTTAGAATTCTTGACAATCGATAACTATAAAAACGAGCCCCACGACTCGAACAATCGTATCTCATCTTCCCAAATTGTTCATTTTTGTTTACAAGCTGAAGCAAAATTAGGGAAAATTTACTGTAGTCACGGAAGGCGACAGTGATTCCAGTGGTACAAAGACCATCTAAGCATTCCGTTTTTTCAAAGTAAACCAGAACCCATCTTTTGGGAACATCTGGAAGGTCATTCTATCGAGTGACAACGGTTTCGTCTTCTCGTTCGGTTCTATCACAAATCTCTCCAGCAGATAGACCATCATAATTTTGACTTCCATTAAAGCGAATCGATTGCCGATGCACATACGGGGGCCAATTCCGAATGGCAAATACGTGTAGGGTACGATGGCTGCCTTGTTTTCTTCGCTGAACCGTTCCGGATCGAACTTCTCTGGGTCAGGGAAATAATCTGGATTGTAATGCAACGCGGAAACAGGAAACCAAACAGTATCGCCAGGCTTTAAGGTAACGCTTTTGTAACCGGGCCCGGCAGCAGGTAGTTCGAACTCCTCCACGCACAATCTGTCGAGAATCGGAACCACAGTATTCTTCCTCTGCGTCTCTGAAATCACCATGTCCATGTACTCCATTTTCGACAGAGCCTCGTACGAGATCTTCCCGTTGTCTTCGGCAAGATAGCGATCCGTCTCCTCGCGCAGCCTCTCCTGAACGTCTTGATTAAGTGCCATCTCGAGAGTCAGGAAAGACATCAGCGTGGACACCGTGTCGAAACCAGCTATGAAAAAGCCGAACGCTTGAGCCACGATATCATCGATAGTGATATTGCTCGAGTCTTGTTCGTTCTTAGCCTGCAGCAAAAGGTGGATCATGTCTGGCCTAACGATGCCTTCTTTCTCCCGAATTCTCACAGTGTCGGCGATGCTTTTCTGAATGAAGTTCGTCGATGCTCTCGAAAACATCGTTATCCCGGCCATTTTGCATAAACGGGGATACGCGTTCGTCAACATGAACCTGAGAATGCTCATATTGTTGAAGGAGTTGGACAAATCGGTTCCGACTCTGTAGAATTCATTATTCCGATCCTTCAATGTGTTCACGCTGATGCCGAAAGCCGAGGAAGCGATCACGTCGTTCGTCAGTATTGTGAAAGTTTGTTTCGCGTCCACCATGTCGCAGATATCCGGATGGTTGTACAGATAGTCGAAGAAATCGTGGGACGATTCGGAGACCACGCCGAACATGAATTTCATTTTGCTGGACGTGAAGAATGGGCTGAGAGTGTTTCTCATTTTTTTCCAGCTTTCGCCTTTCAGGGAGAAAACGGTCCTCCCAAATAATGGCTCCACTATTTCGCTGATGAAGACTCGGTGGTCCGTGAAATGGTCGAACTGTTTGATACCGACCTCCCTAATCAACTCCGGATCACGTATTAGAAGCGTCGGGGTAAACGAATCCATAAATCCGACGTATCTTGCATCGGCGTGACTGTTGTAAAGCATCTTTACGTAGTCCAACATCGTGATACGTTTCCGGAACATCCGCCATGTGATACCAAGCAATGTTAACGCTGGCACCTGAGGAACTCCGCGCTCTTTCCAATACTTGTGAGACCGGTGCTGCGAAACAAGGAACTTCGTCAAACAAATTACGAGGAGAGTAACCACTAACACTCCGAACGCAGACATATTAAACATGAACTCCATGGCTGGATACGTATGATGCCAATGACGGCTGCTGACTGGCGTCTCAAACAATCAACAGACGTTCCCCACTCCGTGGACTGTAGATATGCTATTACGTAGCATCATGCGCTTGATACGACGACAGTATGAATCACGGTCGTATCGCCGGAGATAGATAGACACAGTTGGGACAGCTGGGACCTTTTTATCGCGACTGATTTCGTGTGCCAGCGATAAAACTGTTGCAAGCATTTCATCAAAATAAAGCGAAGATATTCTCTCTCTCGTGTACGCTTGTTACCTCGAAGTTCAGTTCAAGGTCATCACGTCCTAGGTCGTTGAGCTCGGCTCGGTACCGGTTATATCGTAACGAGGTTAAAAGTCACATGTACAGTGCTATTTAAAAAAGTAATATATAATAATATTATATAATAATATATATATTTGTATAATAAATGATTTCTAGAGTTAATTTATTATACAAATATATATATATTATTATATAATAATATATATATATTTGTATAATAAATTAACTCTAGAAATCATTTATTATACAAATATATATATTATTATATAATATTATTATATATAATATAATATAATATTATTATATAAAGAAATCATTTATTATACAAATATATATATTATTATATAATAATATTATATTATTATATTATATTTATATTATTATATATATTATATTATTATTATTATATAATAATATATATATATTTGTATAATAAATGATTTCTAGTGTTAAAGATCACTACTTTTTTAAATAGCACTGTACATGTGACTTTTAACCTCGTTACGATATAATTTTTTAATCTATTATTATATATATATATATATATAATATTATTTATACAAATCATTTAACATTACCAAATCAGTCAAAATGACTGGCTCCTGATTTTTTCTTTTACAGTTCTAGATACGGTCATTTTCTTGTCAACAACTATAAAAACGAGCCGCAAGGCTCGAATAATCGTATCTCCTCTTCTCAAATTGTCCATTTTTGTGCGCGATCTGAGCGCGAATTAGAAAGAAATTACTGTATTATGAAAATATTTCTGGGAGAAATTTTTAAGTACGCTTGTTTATTGAAGTATATATTATAATATACATTATTCAAATAAATAAGTATAAATATATATAATATATATAAAAATATATAATATAATATTTAAAATAAGTTAAAATAAATCCTGTCTTGGCATATTGTTATAAAACAATATACATTAATCGCGTTTAGGGCTCGGTAATTCTAGTGTTAAGGAAGCATTAATTCGAAAGCGATATCATGGTATTGAGATCACTTCGATCGGTTTCATTTCACTTTTGTTCCTCTTCTTCTCAAAGTTCATTTGTATGTGATCTTATAACAAAAATTGTGCTCTGCATTATTGATAATATCATTATCTTTTTTTTATATTTGTAAAATCCTTCGTTGTCCGAATTTTAAGATTAACGGACTTACACCGTCTTATACGTCCATGTATGGTTCTGAATGTAATACATCGAGATCGATAAAAATACAAAAAGAAAACGTTACGAGCCGTCAAACAGAACCGTTAACATAATTGGTACAAACGTTGTGTCCGCACAGTTTTCAGAAGTCGACAGGGAAACGAGTGGATCGCAGAAATCAATTTCTCCGCACGTTTATTAGTTTATTTACCTTTATTTGTAATCTATCGGTAAGAACAGCAATAGTATAATTATTAATGATAATAATACGACGCAGTATTATGTACAACCAAAAAGAAACTCTTACAAGATAAGTGGCTTAGGAAAATATCTTACACAGATGGGTATCAATGGAATTCGAATTAGAGACATTTAAAAACAACAATCGATCCTCGCTTCTTTACAACCGTTAGAATTTCATCCGCAGTCCTTTACATAGTGAAGAAAGCGTGTACTAATCGCCAGTGATAAATCTAATCGCGTTCGGGAAAACATTCTTATCGCCAGGTCTCCACTTGAGAATATTTCTTAACACATCCGCGTCGGTCTGTTTCGTATTTATCGCAATACAAGACTACATCAACACTCGAACTTTTCGATCTTTTTGATATTACTCGATACACTTTGAATCATTTGTAACTTCGTTTATTAATTTTTCCGCGACATATTTCTTAAGGTAATCATAGAAACGTTAACTTTTCTATAGACCTTAATCAAACATGCGAAGATCCGAATGAATTGCCAGAAACTGGTCCCAGTGTTAAACAGTTTCGTTTCTTCCATGATTCGTCTGATTTTTGTCACGACCATGGTAGCCAGAGAAACAAGCTAAATTTCAAGCCGAAGTAGTGGGGGCAGGTAACGTGACGCTGCGTTGCTTCCCACCGTGCAGCGGAGTGGGGATAACGAGGAGTGTTCTCATACGGCCGCCGTGTCACGTGACCTAGCCCCACTACTTCGATTTGAGGTCTGGCATAATCACCTGGCCGTATGGCTGCGACCCTAATTGAGAGAAGTTCAAACAATTGCCGCGCTTTATTCGTTTAATTTGCATCGAGTCTAAAGTATCGCAGGTAAAAATACGAGCCATCCGGTGCAAACGCGTTAATATTTAGCATCGAGAGTAGAAACTAACCTAGCCGATCGAAAACTGGCTCTTCGATGCGCGTTCAATTCTACCGTGAATTGAACGTGGGCGCTCAGCTACTCTCGATAATAACTCTCGCGTGGACACGCGGCATAACACTCGACCCGAACCCGATTCATCGTTTCACCGTGCGACACAGCTTGCATGTACACATCGATAGAAGAACATTGATAGTAATGAATAAATATTATGTGCAGTAAGTATCGTTTTAACAAGTTCGGTCGCCAGCTGATCATTATTAATCTACGGAACGCTGTCTCGTGAAATCGGTCGTCTCGATCGCCAAGAACATGCTCGAACGAAACAGAAAAGGGGAACGTGCCGCGGCGACGTATTTATGTGTATGTTACAATAAAGCTTATTTTACAGGGATCAGCGGTCAAGCTTCGGACAACAGCTATTCTCTCACGCGGCGACCCGTCTTCGATGCACGACGGAACGAAGTGCCATTTCGGTGATCGAAAATCTATTTCTCGACTTTAGATTTCAAGTAAACAGATCCGTTTTAGAAACGGTTTCATATTGTTACGTCGGGAATCAATTTTCAGTTGGGCAACAAATTGTTTGATAAGCTTGTCGTTAATCAAGATAGAAGCTTCTTTGGTTCTCATAGAAACCTCTATAGTTTCAATTACTAAAAATAATTTAATGCTTCAAATGAGCATTCATTCAACTTGAAGCAATAAAGTAGTTGGCAAATCAGGTATAGTCATCACGCGACAAGAAGGCACCTTTGCGTTTACATCCCCCCACTCACTTAGCTGCGGCAGTGGGGCAGCTAGTAAGAGGGGGAATATGTAAACACAAAGGTGCCTTCTTTGTCGCGTGAAGACTATACATTTGTCGGTAAATTAAAGAATTTCACATTAAAGACAAAAGTCGGGCGAGAAATCAGGTTTCAGTAATTATTGACTGCATACGTCTTTCGATCTTCGTTCGCCAAAAAATTCCAATTTTTCGTGAACTTCAATTCGAAATTTAAGCAATAATAAACGTGATCGCTTCAAGTAACCGAATATTGGCTGATACACTTCGATACGGAATGGAATTAATGTTGCAATAAAATATGGATCTACAGAGTGTTTGATTTATCCTGACACCCATTTGCATCTTTCTTCTGAAAGTCGTCGACATGCTTTTCACGTTGAAGTCGACTTTCTGGCAGGCAAAACTCTAATTACCACGTTATGATCTGCAACGAAAAAGTCGCACTAGTTTGATGATTAATGTTGCAGGTCTTAAGAACGTTGCAGGTCATCGAACTAGTTTTAACGCGTACCACAATTTCAAAACTTGAAAAAACAACGCGATCTTATCAATATTAAAAAGGAATATAAATTACTTTTTTTTAATGCTCGATAGTTCTGGTAGTAAATAGTTTCAATTACTAAAAATAATTTAATGCTTCAAATGTGAGCGTTCATTCAACTTGAAGCAATAAAGTAGTTGTCAAATCAGGTATAGTCATCACGCGACAAGAAGGCACCTTTGCGTTTACATCCCCCCACTCACTTAGCTGCGGCAGTGGGGCAGCTAGTAAGAGGGGGAATATGTAAACACAAAGGTGCCTTCTTTGTCGCGTGAAGACTATACATTTGTCGGTAAATTAAAGAATTTCACATTAAAGACAAAAGTCGGGCGAGAAATCAGGTTTCAGTAATTATTGACTGCATACACACTCATCAAAAGTTTACGAATACAATTTATTGAAGCCCATCAATTTTGTTAGATCGTGCTCCATAGTTAGAGCGCTATGATTTTAGAGCATCGCAGTGGCATTTTGTATTAACGTGCGACGACGCGACGCAACGTTCGAACGATCCGCGGCCTGACCCGCTCCAGCTCGATGTTTGCAATGTACACCTTTAACCATCGTTCCGATCGTCAACGTGTGAAATTCGTTCCGCGATAACGACACACCTAGCACGCCACAATTACCGCAGGCTAAATTACCAGCTAAGCGACTTAATTAATTAAGCCTAAGGACAATGGAGGAGAGCCAACGCGAGACGCGAATGACACGCTCCCGATGAAGTACACGGTTGTTACTGTACACACGAACGGCGTCATCGATACAACATGTGGCTACAGCCGATGCTAGCTCGGGGTGGAGATTCTTGAGCAAACGTGAACGCGAAAACCACGTTTGAAACCACACTGGCTGTAAAAAGTATTCGTACACGGATCGATAAACTGTGGATCATTGTGGAGAATTCAAATTTTCTATCACGATTCTAACGAACATGAGTGAAATTCAAATGGCCGCCGTTAATGGGTTCGCTGGATCGTTGATTAGACTGCGAATTTCATGCATTTATGACGAAAACGAGTAGATCAATTTAAACATCTAGAGAATTTGAAAATGTTATTGTGTTATTCGCAACTCGTTAAAATTATTTTTAGAGGAGAAATAAATGTTTCTGCAGCTTTTGTATCTTATAATTAATGCAGACTATCTTCATTTTGCGTGAACACTTCTGAACGCGTCGTTTTCTGGCTTCGATATTGCCAATATCTGCATCGATTCGGAGAATCTGGAGACAGTTATCATTTCCACCCTTAGCGATCGTGATATGTTGATAACAGTGGATTTCTCCAATTTCTCCGATATTTGTGTTCAACGTTTTAACCTATCCGTTTTTCTTATAAACACATAGAATTCATAGTCTACCGGCCAGTCTCAAGCAAAACCACGCATGTTTTCAGTGCTCTATGGAAGAGACGTCATCATAAAACAGTACTTGTACAATTTGTGAAATTACGAAAGAAAATTGGAAAGTCGATAGAATTGTACGAACAATGAACACACTTGTCAAGTTTATCGTAATTGCTATAGGGGAAAATTTTACGTTATCCCACACATTGTTTGAACACTAATTACTTAAAAAAATGTTATCAAATAATAAGATACAGTCATACAGAAATTATAATAGAAGAGAAATTTCTAAAAATTTACGTGATCATTGTAGAAATTTGTTTCAACAGAAACCATCGTGCAAAACATAATTAATAAGTTAGTATTAAGAACAGATCGATAAAGTAGGTAAAAATTATTTTCATTCGAATAACTAAAGGATATCAAAAAAAAAAGAAAGGAATGCGATAGAAATTATTCACCGTTTAAACGGTATTTTCTAAGAAGTTGAAACTGTTGTAGCAGCTCTGCTAGTTCAACTGCTAGTAATAATTCATGATTCATAATAATTCAAAAATTATTCAAAAAATATTCTCATGGAGAATCATCGCCAGGGGAATTGTATCTATTATAAACTCAAACGAGAGTCCTGCGAAATATTAATTTAGCATTAACTGATATTTTTGTAGCAATTAAGATTTAACATTTCGACACTTCTTTGTTAATTTCGCAAACTGCACAATCACTTAATAACTGTTATGTTATGTTACCTACTCTACGGAATTCTGAAAACATGTACGAACCCATCCTCTTGCAATAATTGGATTAGAAATAATTAAATAAACCACAGTTCTAAAAAGCATTCAGCAGATTTCAGATTTGAAAGTCAGCCTACGATTACTTTCTACATTCATCGTGTGAACTTGAAATAAATCAGTCGGTAAAGAGGTACATGAACATACGACGACATAGTTTAACTGTTGGACAACGGAGTTCAGCGACTACATAATTAAAGACTAATATTTAACACCTATCCGTGTACCGTGCGTTTTCTTGTGTCTCTTTTTCTTTTCTATAAACGTGCCCTATACAAAATCACAAATTTTGTTCTCTTATCGAAAATTACCAGTAAATTAATTGCTATCTAAACAAATTTCATTCGCTAATATAACTAATACAATTTTACTACTTGTACTGGCTTTCGAATACTCCGGTGTCTGACAGTTACGTGAATGGAAAGCGATTGTTGTAAATTGGCCTAAAGAGGAGTTCATCAGCACATATAAAAGAAAGTTAAAATTCGTTAACTAATTTTGTATTAAAAATTAGACTATTTACTCTAGGTTGTTTGTTATACTTTAACTTACCTACCATGATTTACAAATTTGTTCATATGCTTGTAATATAATAATGATCTGCTAAAATCGTTAAATTACTTGATTTCATTCGTCTTCGAAATCTTGATTCGTAAAATCCTTTTCTATGATCCATGTAAAATGCAAACATAAATTCGACAATTTTCCGGACGCTACAGAAATTAAGTAATTTGTCAACAATTACATAAACCTTAAACGATTCCAAAATCCGATACTCTGAACAAGACAGAAACGTAACGAAAAGTAATTATCGCATGTAAATGTAAACATACTAGCATGATTCGCTCGTAAATCAAATTTTGCTCCGTTTATAAGTCAAAGTACATTGTGAATTAGATGTTCAACATGATTCCTTAAGATTAGTGAAAAAAAAGTTCGTTCCGCGTCGAATGAAAATAAGATAGGCACACCTTATACAGCTACGTAACATTAAAAATTTATTTACATTTACGGTAGAAACGATTATAAATCTGTTCGAAATCAGTTTAGTTCTTGTGTTTAAACATAAAACCTACACCTGCTGTAATAAAAAGAAAAATAACGTACTAAATCTAGTATAATATGAATACAATAATAGTACAATTTATATAACAGAGTTCAAACCTGAAAACCGTGTCTCCTCAAATCATTAAATAATTTTCTTAATTGTATTTCACTTTTTATATACATCTTTCTAAGACAGTTATGCGATACCGTTCAATTCATCCAATCATACCTTCGCTGTTTCCAGCAATAATAAAACCTGTCTAACGAAGAGTCTACACCTGCGAACTATTACATGGAATTCCATTTTTCTAAAAGAGACTTACCGATTGCATATATCCTCTTTCCCTAATTTTCCGAAAATTAGTTTTTCGTTCGGAACTCTAGAAAAAAAAACAACGCCTGTAAAAAAAACGAAGCTGCGTGTTGGCTTCCAGTTTTTACGGAATAGTGACGAAAATCTGAATTTATATAAACATCCTCAGACTGGTCTCGTTTGTGATTAAAAAGATGTTGCGGGAGAAAATTTCTTGTTGACCATTTCTTTCAGTCTTGCAGCTGAACCCGCGAAAATATTACATCTGTTTCACATTGCGAGAAAATTTACGACCACATTGATGAATTTATTCTTTCTGGACAATTCTCCTATTTGTTTTGTGTAGTGGTTTACAAGAAAGATGGTACATTTCATGCTTTTGTATATTTGTCAATATTAACAAAACATCAGTGAATATTTTTTACTAATAAGAAAGGGTTAGACACGTACGAGTGGAATCTGAAACACCTCCTTATCTGAAAATATCTGATCTAAGATATTTATCTAAAATATTTGAAACAGGAAATCAGAGTTTTATAGTAACAGAGATTACAATACAATAGATTCCTCTGGAGACTATATTTTACCATCGTAGTGGTATGGACTAATACAATTTTTAATGCATTGTTCGACGCAGCTTCCGTTCTACAGTCATTAGTTTAGTTTGCAGAACATTTGAATTTTAACATCTCCAAAAATCTTGAGACTAAAATAATCATAAGCAATTATCACATAGTATTCATATTAAAATAATTTTAATATAAATTGAAGTGAACTAATTTCGCTTAGAAATGACGTTCATAGAACTAACAAGCTACATCAATCAACATATTAAAAGATTGCATAAAAATTACATCGTAGAATTGAAAATTTTGGAAAAATATAAGCCAGTGAAAGAAAAATCTTTGAGTTGCAATTAATTGCGTTTTAAAATGTCACTAAATTTTTATCATCAGGAACGGAGATGCATCAAATTCTAGACTTATGTTACCATATGTATAGTAAATTTTATTAGGAACATATGACCATAGGCATGACCATTTTGCAAAAAAAACCCTGAAGAAGACCGTAAATAGTGTCCAATTTTAAGTCGACGAAGCATCAGCACGCGTGTTTCAAATGAACACAAATTGCAATATGAAAAATATTAAAAATTTATATATCACCACTTGGTGATACCTGCTTTTCTGAACAATTTCGCAGGAACGTTCAGTTCGCATTTTCTACAATAATAAAACAAGACACCTGGTTAATCTAAATAATATATCATATATAATGTAACAAGATATCAATACTTCATCAATCTTGAAAAATCTGCAAAAATACTACGTGTAACATCTGTTCCCCAGCCACCGCTGCTCTCGTGTCTCCGTTAGCAGCCCTAAACATGATCGGAAATATCCATCGGATGTTCATACAAATGCAAAAGTTTACGCACCAGTCTGCAGAAATCGGAATCACACGTTCGTTCGTTCCCGTGATCGACGCAATGCAGAACAGAGCCGTCTAACGTAGGCTCCGGAGATTAGAGACCTTATTCTACTCCATCAGAATTGACTCTTCTCGTCGGTCTCCAATTCTCTCCCTAACTACGGGCGCGGCTTCTATCAACGCCGTCGAAGCCTCGCCAGCAACCGAATCGACCGTTCCCTACTCTTCGTCTGCCGTCAAAGAAACCAAAACGTAAAGCGCGACGTCATTGACTGCCATCTGCATAGAACGCGGGACCACGGGGTCCTGTGTCTTTTACCGGCGAGGTTGTCCTTTGTTAGCAAAGGTATGCGCAAGGGGTCGAAAGCGTGCGTAGGAACCGGTCCCTGGACAACACCGCTCCACAGAAGCGGAACGCGCTTAAAGGAGGACAAAAGCGAGCGAGGTGTTCCGCCAGACGCGTTCTCCGCACACGGTCCGTCGTTCGTCGTGCCGAGATCAATCCGTGGAAGAGGATCTGCGCGTCGCGTGGCAAGCAAACGGCGGAAAGAAGGAGCACTCGTCGGAGACGCTCCAACTTGTTGCGCCCAGGTGCTGTGTGTTCGCCTCGCCTTCGACGCGTTTCGGGCTCTTCCGAAAGAAACTTCCGTCGGCGGAGAACGATCGGGACCTACGCAGCTTCGACAACTTGGCGAACCGTTGCGAGGGTCACGCATAGCAAATCAGCTCGTCCGAAACAGTTCGACTCGGGGAGTCTAATCTAATCGCAGTCTTGGCAATCCACGTTCCCAAAACCTGTCGTCGTATAGGGTATCGTCTAGCCCGGGAAGACGCTGCCTAGCTATCCCGTGCACGATGAAACCCAACTACCAGTCGACGCCCGGCTACCTCGGACCAACGATGGACCCGCGAATGATCATCGATGGATCAACGAAAGACCAACGAAGGTCCAGCTTGCCCGTGACTCGGTCCAGCATGCTCGAAAATGTAAAGGTTCTTCAGCCGTTCGCCTTCGCGCGTGGTCCACGGTGAACGATACCCCAGCCCATCCCGATTGTACGCCAGCTTCGAAATCCCGCAGCCCTCAGACGGATCCAGCAATGAGATGGACCCAGCAGCGAGTCGGATCCAGCTCAGCTCCGCTCGCGGATCCAGTCGCGGTGGAATGACAGCCTCCGGTTCCCGGCTGTCCACTTAGACGACTGGCACGGCTCGAGGCGTTCGGCTCTCCTATTTGGTCTGCCAGGCCGGCATTTCTTTCCGACTCGCCTCGGCAGCCTCTATCACTTCGGAACCTTCCGACGTCTCCGAGGAAGAGGAATCGCCGCTGCCCGGCATCCCCGCGGCCGACTGCGATTCCTCCATCATGCTCTGGATCGTGCTCTCGATCGTGCTCAGGAGTCTGTCTGTTGCTAACAGGCAATGGAATTTGCAGTTATTGACAATGATTCGTGACGATTGCGGGTGTACGAATTTGAAGGCGGAAAGATCTGGTCATGTTTGAAATAACATTGTTTGTAATATCATTTCAAATGATAATATTGGGTTGGCAACTAAGTAATTGCCGATTTCAGTTACAGATGTCTCTCACTCCCATTTTTATGATATCCGTAATTGTTATGTTATAAAATTATTGTTATTATTATTATTGTGTTATTTTTTATTATCCGTGAATGTTAGCAACTGGACAAATTGAATGCAGCGCTCAAGGAAAAGCGAGCAGAATTGGTCAATCGTAAAGGTGTCATTTTCCAGCAGGACAATGCAAGGCCGCACGCGTCTTTGTCCACTCGGCAAAAATTGATGAATATTGATTGGGAATTGATGTTACACCCACCATATAGCCCTGATCTCGCGCCATCGGATTACCACTTATTTTGATCCCTGGACAACTCCCTTCGTGGTAAAACTTTTAATGATGATGACGCTGTAAAATCTCACTTAACTCAGTTTTTGGCCGAAAAGGGTCAGACTTTCTACGAGCGTGGAATTTTCAAGTTGT